AATGAAACCCATTGCATAGTCAATAGTCGCAGCGCATCCTGCGAAACCTAGCTTTCCATTATTTACATATTTTTGAAAACTCTCATGCGTTTATGCAGACTTCCCTTACAATTTTGTCTTTTGGTATAATTCTGACTATCCTCTCTGTAGAAGAAGCCATGTCTTTCTTGGAGAGGAAGGGAGCAGAGAGTCCTCCCAATGCCCCCATTGTCGCTCTGGAAAGATGGGAGACTGGGCGCATGACACGGAAAGGAATCGCCATGTTCTGAATCTTCCCAGTCTTTCTTTGGAGTGAAGGCTGGAGAGTTCTCCCCACTGTTTGTGCAGAAAACAAGTCCAGGAGAGCTTTTTGAAGGGAATGGTGACTTATGGTCAGGATGGCCCCAGATCGCCATNNCTGAAAACACACAAAAACACTGCAAAAATGGGGGCCCCACAGCGTCCCACCCTCCAGAAAGATTTTGGTAAAGCTGCACATGGTCCTTAAATCGACAAGCTTTTTCCACAGCCTTTAGAACCAGGTCTTTGTTCTTGTGGTCCGCAACAAGCACGCAAACTTCCTTGATTTTAGTTTCAACTCGGTGTAGGACAAGCTTCCGTAGAAACCAGAATTTGTCGTGGTTCCAGTTGGAGAGCTGTGAGCCTGCGCCATGGCGCAGCTCGCCTTGCGCCATCTTGCACCCTTGCGCAAGCTTCTTCAACATGGCACTGCAAACAAATGCAAAGCGGGGGCGAGTCAGCATGAAGGCGAAGCCATGTGCAAACTCAAGATCTCAAGATCGCCCTGCAAGCACCGAGAGGATAAACGTGCCTACCAACTGGTCAAGAACAAGACAGAATTCCATAAAGACACTGCGCTCAGCTTGTACACATTTGTCCTCAAGGACAGAAGTGCTTTGCCCTTGGCAGATGCGGCTTCTGAAACGCTTTGGCAGCCTGCACTCGGCGATTCAGAGTTCAGGCCCTCCCCAGCAAGAAAATTCAGGTCTGACTTGCTAGCAAGTTACTGGTGTGTTCTGGCGCTTTTACTCAGGCGAGTCTTCAGTGAGCTTCCTGAAGTTCTGTGACCTCCTGAGGCCAAGCCTTGCAGGTCACGCGACTGTGATGTAAGCGGCTTCTGGAGGGTGATCCACTTCCCTCTGAATCAGAGCACATGCCGGCACCTCTTTAGCCAGGACGGGATGCAGCCGTTTCTGGGCAAGTGCTTTGTTGACCTGCCGGCAAGGTTTGTGCAGGGCACAGGGAGATGCCAGTGGACTCCTTCAAGGCTCTACTCATGGAAAGGCCAGCGCTGCGAATGCTCCAATCTCTGACATAGAATTTGCCTCCAACACCTGTGTGAGGACCATTCAATCCATGCGCTTCATCATGGAAGGCTGGAATGGCAAGCAGGCCCCATGGCAGCCGTGGCATGGAAAAATGCAACCAGCGTTTGCGTTTGCGTGCTGAGCGCGAGGTGCGGCTGCAGTCCCACATCCGTACCTTCATCAGGCAAGAGCGGTCCCCTTTAAACTTCTGAATTCCCTCCCCTTTCGCCCCAACTCGCCTTCTCAGAGTCTAAGCTCATTTCATCTTCTCATACCTGTCCTTTTCTGAAAGGCGCCTGGCAGAGGTGGATGCCTCGCACCGCTTCGCGGCCGTGGACCGCTTGCAGCGGAAGCTCAGCGTCCTCTGCCCAACACGCGGAAGACGCGAAAGTTCCGCAAACCTTCAAAGAGAGAGAGAGACTTTCAGAAACATCAATTTCAGAGCTCTTGAGCTCTGAAGCTCAGGCCAGCTTCTTGCAGGACTTCTGGCAGTTGCTCCTGAAGCGGCTTGGGAGGCAACCGTTGCCCAAGCTCTGAGAGCTTTGGCTTGGCATGGCTTGGCATGGCTTGGCCAGTTCCCGGTCCGAAGACCTCACGGTGACGCAGTCCTCACTGCTGCGGGTGCTGGTGGATCCGGAGGCCACAGAGCCACAGAAAGCCACAGAAAGCCAGATTTGAATGCATTCTGCAGCCAAGGCCACCGCCGTCTTCCAGGCGTGGCAATGGATAGAGGGGTCGAGACGGTAGGAAGAGAGCAGAACTGCGGAGCTGAGGACCAGGAGGTGCTGTACATGCTTCGCGTCTTTGAGCGCATGCTGACCTTCCGAAAGTCCCTCGGGCTCAGTTCCAGCGAGGCCTTCCTGCCCCTACGCCTTGGCCTCGGTGGAACATGGAACCCTTTCAATTCCCTAAGCCTCAAGCCTTTGAAGCCTTGTGCTTTCCCTTGGAGGCTACTACCTGGCAGGGCTGGTTCTCATCAGTGCCATCCCAACGAAGAAAGAAAAGCTGGCCTTAATCTTCGAGGCTTCGACTTCGAAGAAAGGGGGGGGGGTGGGTAGGCGAAGAGAATGTCAAGGCCTTCGACAGCGACTACGATCACTGCCTGCTCTACAGCCAGGTGTGCCCCAAAGGAAGCAAAGTTGAAGCACAAGGCCTTTTTCCAGCTGTTTCTTTTAGGTCCACGAGATGTGCCACTGCATTTGTGTTCTGAAGGCTCGCGCTCCGTTTCCGACTCCCCATTTTCTATCATATCTGATGCATCAGATCATCAGGTGATGGTGGAGGAGCCCCACTCCGAGACAGGGAAGATAGGAAGATGAGGGAAGATGTCTTTCGTGCGAATGCGCCAGCAATCTGCGTTGCTCCTGCTTGCTGCCCTTAAGCCGACATTGCATGTATTCAGTAGGTAAGCAATCCTTTTGCATTCTAGAGCATCGTGAAAGTCAGTTCAGGAGAGCGCGCGCGGCGCCTCAGAGGAGACCTTCCAGGCTGAGCTATCGCAGCAGGTTGGGCAGTGTTTGGCGCTGGCATTCCAATGCTTGCAATTCGCTTGAAAGATTTCCTGCATGGATGGCAAGCGTGGGCAGGAAGGTCTACGTTGGTATGAGAGCATTCGATGGCATTTGCAACGAACAGGGGGCGTGCAAGGCGACATCGTCAAGCCCTTAGAAAGGCAGACCGACCACATCAAGCAGGCGACACTTTGCAGAACTGCAGAGCCTGGCAGAGCCTCCTACCGACTCAAGCCGGCTCAAGCCGCTTAAGGTCAGCTTGCCCGAGCTCTTTGCAGCTTTGGACACGCAGCCCGGCTTGCTCCTGCTGCCAGGCAGAAAAGTGCGAAACGACAGAAAAGGCGCTCTTAGCTCGCACTGCTTAGCTGCAGCTGAGAGGCTTGGTCCGCTTTCGCTGGGCCGCCGAGGTAGCGGAGCTGAAGCTGAGCTCGAGCTCATGCTTGTGTCTTTGTGTCAATCCTTTTGGGGTCTGTGTCCTTAGAGGCCAGCGAGGGCGAGGACTTGGAGGAGGCCGTGGCAGCAGCGGCTGCTGAGCTACGCCAGGCGGTGCGCGGTGACTTGACAGCAGCAATACGTATTCTTTGTTGTTTTTTCTCCATGGAGCTAGTTATCTACTTGAGAGGATAGCTTGCTGTTTGATTACTTACTAGGATGGCGTGGGTTTGAGATGTGGTAAGTTTAAAGGGTGATGTGACTGAGATGATATGACAAGTTTGTTGTACGGTTGTCGTGAGGTGTCGGATGAGGCCCCAGCCCCTCCATTGTCTCAGGGCTGTTTCAGTGAAGTTTTGCTGACTCCCTGAGCTCACACTGTAAGATCGAATCCCGCAGCGCGCTTGAGCCCAAGTAAAAGGATTAATCTGAGTTTGGTAGCGGAGCTGATTGCTCCTGTGTAAATCCATTCGAGCTATAGGCTGCTGAAGGCTTCTGAGGCCTTGGGCGTGCGCTTCCGCGCGCTCTCTGCTTGTCAAGATTTTCGGCATCACAAAGCTTCTTTCTCAATTCGTTATCGCTGGCTGGACATTGACTTTGACGAGCATCGCTGTGCTCTACAACCAGCCTGGAGCTTCGGTCCAAGGGCCTGCTTTCCTAAGGAAAGATTGTGCGGACTACATCAAAGAGTTTCCTTCGGGTGACCTGCCTGAGTATCACATCATTTTTAAGAATTCGGCTGTGACGCTGCGGGATAAGAACACGGTGGCGATTCTGAAGTATCTCGTCCACGAGACCTACCTCTACTTCCAGGAGCTGCTGGGCTACACGTTCTCGTGCTACCTGTACGCTGGCACGATGACGGACGGTGGCCACGGCCCAGGCGGAGGCATTCCTCTCCATGAGTTTCGCCGAGACGTTCCTCCTGGTTGGGCTCCTGGCATCCAAGACTACCCCTTGAGATTGTACTTTGAGCGACTCAAGCTTTGGTACAGGGTGTTTGAAGGGGATGACACCTTGGTAGGTCCTCTCGTGGCTGGGTGACTTCAAGGAAAAGCTCAGCGGCTTGGGATGCAGCTATGTCTTCCTCGCCCAGACGGCGGCGTAGACGTAGGAAGCGAGGCATTGGTCAGACTCTCAGTCGAAGAGGTGAGAGACCCAATGGACCCGAGAATAATCCTACAAGCCGCAATACCCTCTGGGGTACAAGCGCTGTGCAATTCCTTGAGAGAAGCATTCGGTGTTAGGCAAGCTTTCATTCCCGGAGTATGCCATCGAGTGGGACATTCGCATGGAAGAGGCCACCACTCGAGCTGGCTTGGAGATCAACGACGTCGGGAAGTTCCATCTTTTCTTCCGCAACTCCGGTCTCCCCAACAAGTTCGTGGAGGACATCAAGCTGCAATTGCAAGGCGACCTTCGTCGATTCCAAGAAGCGCGTGCTCTCGCTCTGAGACTTGTGGAGTACTATGACGACAGCTGGCAAGACTATGGCGACGGCTATGAGTACGGCCAGTGGTATGGCGAAGAGGATGAAGATGGCGAAGAATGGTATAGCCCTGAGAAAGAAGGCTATATCGAGACTTCCAATGCCGCTGCCTCTGGAACCAATGATGCTGCTCCTGGACTCAGAAGATCCCCACTGACTTTCCCATGTGCTGGCGCTCTCCTGACAATCATGTTGCCATGGCTCAGTGGGATATCTACATGAGTAAAACCTTCTCTACTACCACCTCGGCGACTTCGGCAATCACGTCAGCTCCTCCGCGTCACGACTTTCTCTTTACATGGCCAAACAACCTGGAGAACCCTCTCGACCCCAAAAAAAGGGGGTAACGTGCAATCTGGGGTCATGGCCTTTTTTTGGGGGGTAGTGACAACGAGGCCTCCAACCCAAAAACTTCACTTCACAAGCCGAAGCCCAAAAAATCATCACATTCCCCGAAATCGAAGTCTTGGAGCGCGCTGGCCAACATTTTTTCAAGCCACAGGCAGTCCAGGGCGTGCAAACTTCTTGCTCCAGTGGGCAACTGTACACACCAGGTACCGCTTCAGGCAATTTATGTGCAGACCACTGGCATGGCGCCCTGATGCCTTGGCTCGCAAGTACATATGAAATATTTAAAGTATTCAGAATGGTTCATTTTAACACCATCACGTCGTTAATGCCATAGATCATTACAGCGTCTATGTTGCAACAACGCCTCACGAAGTCTTCGTCGCCGAAGCAGCTGTTGAGTTTGGGGTTCACGGGCAACTGCTGCAACTGGTTCATGTGCAGCCAGGTGTGGCACCTGATGAACCAATTATGTACCAACTATGTGTTTTGCGTTTTTGATTGGATACAACTGAAAAATCTTACGAGGAAAAACACTTGACATAGCCCAATTGAAATACTTCAGCGCAATCAACCTGCAGAAGACTTGAGTTGACTTGCGCAAACACATGGAAACCCTCCAATACTTCCCTCAGAAAATCTCGAAACTGTTACTGAGCATGTGTTTCCGCCAAGGGTCTTTGGGCGGATTTTCCAGAGTTTCGCGCCCGTGTCATAGGCTGCAGCAGCCAGCCAAAGGTATCCTAAGAGGAAGTTTCGAGCGTACTTCTCAAATCTGGCGACCTTGTCACGCCGGATCACATATCCAGATTCATCCATAAGCCGAATGCTCTTCGCGATGGCGCGGGCTGTCCTTGGCAAGCACCATACAACAAGCTTATGGTATCATGAAACCCAGTATGGCAGCAATTTGCTTGCAAAGGCTCATGTTCATGACCTTTGCATACTCACGGTCTTGCCAGCTGCGAGATCTCACAGGCACAACTTCAGCCTCACAGAAACTGTAATGCGGATGTGAAAGTCACGAGCTAGTGCAAACAAATGATTTCTGGCGCAATATTTGCTCTAGCCAAGTCACGAGCCAGAGGATCAGGCATCTCACGTCCCAGCCCTTCGCGTTCAAATTGGGAAATTTCCCTTCGAAGGAGAACGTAAATTCGTCCACTGATAGCTCAAGCCCGTGCGCGCGGCACCAGCTGTGCGCCAGGGTATGTGCTTCGGATAGTTGCTGGTGTCCGAAGACCGCAATAAGAGCGCTGGCTACATAGTCCGGTCCCACACCTCGAAACATCACGTGCAGGGTGTCGAAGAAAATCAAATGGCTGGAAAAGCCATGTACGTTGACAATGGCAGGCATCGAGCTATGAGATCGGTGCAGCGTTTCCAGGAACTCCTTACCCCATATATTTCAGGAAGAAACACTTAATACGATCTGTCCATCAGGTACTTAAGTATATAGGCCCCCAAAGCATTAAAGTGCTCAATGTTCAGTAGAATGTTTCCTGGTGACTTTCACGGCCGCCCAGGTCCCAAGCAGCATCCCCATAAACATTCATGTAGTGGTTCGAGCCCATAGCCAAATAGGCAACGCCATCTCCCGGGTCCCTCGTGGCAGCCAGCCTCCATATGAAGTACGCTTAGGGGAGTCCATAGGATTTGGGATTTAGGGGCTTTATAAATGAAAATACGAGAAGGAAAACAACATACGAATGTTTGCCCAAGTGCTGGCATTGCATACACATCCTGTCAAAGTAGCGTACTTGGGGATCAACTTATACGAGGTTCATATATGTTGTTTCTCGCATCTTATAAATTCCTGAATTTCCCCGAAACTATATAGCGTATCCTGCTCGTACGTGGTACGAACAGAATACGATAATCTAAGAACCAGGCTTTAGTCACGTATGCTTGGGGGGTACATTCCCAGGAAGATTAATATTTGGCCACCTATTTTGTGGAGAGCATCGTTGCAAGTCAATGTCTCATATGGTCTTTAGGGCATGGCGACGCTGGGCCAAGAAAAGGAGATTCACCCCCAGTAAAAGGATTTTATAAGCTCAAGCAGAAAGCAAAAAATTTGACATGTTGGCAGACAACATAGGCTAGTGCTAAACGCAAATTCAAGCCTTGCCCTGGTGTCCTATTTCCTCGCGAAGCACTTGTGCCCTTCCAGTGCCGTGGACTTAGTTCGCAATATTTCATCTATGACACAATAGCTTTAATTCACGCATGCGGAAAAAACGTGTGGCTGGGCATCTGGCAAGTGCAGAAGCTGCTGGAACCACTTTTGGTCGCCGGCTACACCGAAGAAGACCAACCGCTGCTTTGAATTGTCCAATGTGAATGTCCTCAGCTAATGGGATTCTGCGTGAGACATAGCAACTACTTAATATATCTTCAGCAGAGGCGCGTTTGCTGGAGATCGCGGCAGATATGACGCATCAAAACGTCCAGCGTGGCCTCGAAATCTGTGCCCAATTTCTTGTTCTTTTGCATCGCCCGGGTCAGAACCATGTGCCCCGGCAAAACACCTCAGCTGAGATTGGATGCTATAGCTTACCTTTGTCACATGTTTTTCGGCGCTGAATTCTCTACGGAGTCAAGACCAAGGCGCATAAGGCTAATCTCGTCAGTAGCGTATCCAGCCTAGGCGCCCCCAAATGAGAATAGGACAAATTGATAACCAGGACGTTTGAGCCTTTTTGTCCGGGCCCCTCGTCCCCATGAAGTCTGCACGGGAGATCGTTAGGCCCTGCCGAAGGATTTGACAGAGCAGGTTCAAATCCAACTTGTCACTCGCCAGCATTTCAAACTAGCCTCCATCATATGAAAGGACAGGACTGCCGCGTAGAACCGCAGTCAACCTCACAGTCACACAGGCACAAGTTCATTTACGTGTTGAAGTGCTGGTCTCTAGCCTACCACGCATGCGCTGAACTAGCGACATGAGTAGAATCGCATCGGTGCTCGAAAAGTTTGCAAACCACGCGGCTCTTCGCGCAGAATCACCATAGCAGATAGCCCTCAACATCCAGGCAAAATCACACCTAGGTAAGCAGGCACATTCACAAACAGCATCCGCTGCGTAGGTCGCGTAAACACAACCAAACATCCCCAACGTGCCTATCATAGGAGGAAGACTCACAGAGCATGACCGCCGCAAGAAGGAAAATTTGGGGTCCCAACGACAAAATGCTCACACGTAAACCAACCTGTAAAGCAAACCCTCCTAGGTAAGGAAAGAAAAGCAGACAAGCAGCAGAGACACTACACTTCCGCAGGCCAACCTTCCTCTTTTGTTTGGAGAAGATGACCGGAAGTTCAAGCTTGGAAACTTTCGGCAAGGATCGGCTCCAAA